ATCGAATCGAAGAACGGAAAATGCAGGTCCATATAGAGAATGAAATCGAAAAAAAAAATAGAAGAAAATTACAACACCAAGCATGAAAAGAGAGAGAGAAACATACCTTGAAAGAAGAGGGAAAGAGAAGAGAATGAAAAACGAAGAATTTCCCAACACAAAAGCTAAATTCTTCCTTGTTTTTCTGAAAACTGTTACGTGAAGAAGACGAACGAATGAATGGCGGAGAAGGAGAGCCAAAAGCGCAGAGGAACGAAAATTCCGTAATATTTATACTAATTGTTAGCGTAGCGATTTATATTTATAATTTAATTTAATTTATATTCTTTTCGAATTTCTAGTTTTTTGTTTTGTTTTTATATATATATTTTTCGTATGTATTGAAGCTTTTTTATTATTATTATTATTATTTTATATAATAAATGTTGTCCTACCTACTCCTAAATTCCTAATCCCACAAAGTTTCCTAAATTCTTTGGGGTTTAAAGTTAGTTTAACAATTTTAAAAAAGGAAAGAGAAAAATATGTTTATCTTTAATGTATTAGGATTTAGGTAAACTTTTTAAAAATCATTTATGGGATGATTTATTCAATATATAATTTTAAATTTTCAAACTTACTTTTATAATAAAAATTTATGTTCTATTTATAGCCTAAAGTTTAAAATTTTACAAAAACTAAAATGATAAAGTTAGTGAGATTTTATTTAGTCACTTTAAAATTGGTTACAACTTAATCCCTGCTATTAAAATGTTAGTATTAAAAAAAACCAAAAATATGAATAAATATGGTCCCAGCAAGGCTCGAACCCGCAACTTTCGGCTCATAAGACCAACGCTCTAACCAACTGAGCTACGGGACCTTTGATTTTAAAATTAATACTATTCTTTTTTATTTTTATAATTTTATAATTGCTATATTAATTTTATTTTATTTTCTAATATTCTTTTATAATTAGTATTATTGTATTTTTTATTTAAAGTGTTTGTACATGGGCAACTCAATGTCCAATCAATTCAAATTCTATATGTTTGTTCTCTTATTTTTTTAGAAATCATAATTCAAATATATTATTTTAATTATTTTTTAAAATTACATAATGTTCGTGGTAAATATCATATAAAAATATTTAGTTCTAGATGAAATATTCGATCTTTTTTATGAGTTATTAGAATTACTTATAATCCACCATAGAGTTTATAATTTCCTTTTCATGCAAAGTTAGAAAGATATATTTTAAACCTTAAGATATAACTATGATTTTTAAATAACAAAATAAGAGGTATGTTAGTATAAAAATTTAATAATTTTAATTATTAATAAAATTATAAAGCGTATCATTTAAGATTCATAAAGGTGTCCGTAACAAAACAAGTTATAAGAAAATATAGGATTTTTATAAGTTATATCAAATAGTTTTTAGCACAATTAATTAGATATTTGTATTCCACCCAATGCGTTGTATTTAAAAAAAATAGATACTTGTATATATATATAAATTTTTTTTATTATTTTGGGTGATAGAAGGTTGGAATCTTCTTTTGAAATCTGATCTGCAATATTAAAAAAATCATTTTACTTTTTTTTATTCTTCAACATTGTGCCTCGTCTATTTAATAAGTTTGTCATTGATTCTAAAATAAAAAAATAAAAATAAAAATTTGTCACTTGGATAAGTGATTTTGTACCCCATTTAATGAAAAGACCATTTAAAATTCCAGGCTACAAATTTAAATAAGTTTTCAAATAATTTTTTGAAATGCATTTTTTTAATACAGTATTAATTTAACATCGAATAATGCTGACAACCAAAAAAGTAAATGTTTTAGATAATTAAGTTTTTAACCTATGGTAATGGCAAAGACGTTTATACCAACTCTATTTTGAAAAAGGAAAAAAAAAAATTAAAGTCACAAATTAGATTTTTTTTACTTTTCATGTACTTAGGTCAGTATATCAATTTTAACATTAAATCGAATCCTAAACTTAAATAAATTAAATTGTGAAATTCATACACAAAATTCAACCAATAATGTATACTCAAATGTCAAGTCACATCCTAGGAAAAAAAAATCTCTCAAACTCATTTAATATCCAACACAATTAAAAATTTAAGAGAACCATTTAATTTTTTTAAGTACAACATGTAAGGTGAGAGAATTCGAACTCGACCTTCTGGTCGAATATAGGTACCTTAACCCGCTAAGTTAGGCTTAGATTGGCAACAACCTCTTTATTTGAAAAATAGTCTGGTTCATGTAAAAAACGCTCAAATAGCTATAAAATTTAAAGAAGAAAAAATAAAACCTTAACTAATTAAATGTATAAATTTCATCCACTTTAACTTTGTAATATTGAAAGTTTAAGGTTAGAATTGATTCATGGAGTAAAAAATTTTTAAAAAAAATATTTTTTATTTTTCCTATTATTTTCCCTTTTATTTATTTTTATGAAAAATAAAAACTATGATTTTGTGTAATAATAATATATAATAATTTGGAATATGTGAGAAGATATCCTCATGGAATATTCTGATGCTGCCAGAGGAGGAATGGGGGAAGGATATGCCCATTCCCAATAAATTTTTATCCCAAATAAAGAGGAAAAAAAAAAAGATTCTCATATATCATATGGAAGTCTCAATCATGATTGGCTCTATATATATATATATATATATATACTCGTTAAAATGACGTGATTGCACGTGATTTTAAATATTTTAATATAATAGCTCTAACATTTAACTTATAGAATGAAAATTAAATCAAAATTTTAAATAGTTCTAATATTTAATTTTTCAAATAAAATATATTAGTATTCGTTGATATTTTATATAAAAAATACAATATTCCAACTAAAAAATAAGACAATAAAATAAGATACATAGAAAACATTGAGTATGATCTAAATTTGAAATAATAAATGTGGTTATCAACTTTTAATTAAAAATATTTTTATAAATTTAAAAATAAGTAAATATAAGACATGATATATTAAATAAAATTATGTAACTAAAAATCCAAACAATGAAATTATTTGTTAGATAGTCAAAATTATAGTAGGAATAAATAAAATTGACCATTTATTAGCTACTTTTTAAAATTGAAAATTGACAAATCAAATATCATTTTTTTATTTTTAAAATGATAAATATAAATGATATTGTACCTTTTAAATATAAAAATAAAATCTCAAATAAGAGAAATTAAGGAATTGAAATTTTAGAAAGAAACTGAATAATGCATCGTGAAATCATTAAAAAGAATATAGGATAAAGAATCACACGACCAAGAAAAAGAAAATAGAAACAAAGACATATTAAGATAAATATGAAAACTAATACTAAAATATGAATATTAAATTAAACTTGAAAAGAACCTTAAGTAAATATCAAAACACACGAAGGTATCATGAATATATATAATTGAAAATAATCTACATAAAAATATTAAAATAATTTTAAAAAAAAAAACTACAAGTTAAATCCTAACAACAATACAAATTACTTACTTTTTTAATAGATTAAATAGATTTTGAAATTCAGATAGTAAAAAATTAAAAAATATGAATACAAAATCTAAAAGTAGTTAAAGATAACAATAACTACCTACATCAATCTAGGACATGGTCACGTACAAAATTAATATGGTCATGTACAAAACTAACATCAATTTAGAAATCCAAAAATTAAAATTAATAAATACAATATATATTTTTTAAATCTCAGCATTCGTGACGGATGAAGATGGATGTTTTTTCAGCGGACGAAATAGACAAAATCATGATAACAACTTAGACGAACTTGTAGTCTCCTTGGATAGAGGCATTGTCTTACAACTGCTATGATTGAATGGCAGAAAAAAGAATACGTTATATAGTCAATTTTTCTATCTATTCTTAAATTTATCTCAACCTGAATGTTCATTTAGAGTTAGATGGGAAATGAAGAAGGAAGATGCTTGTATCTTGGTCATGAAAATGTACTGTCATGCTTATTCCTCTCTTAGGTTAAAAAAAATATAAACATAAAATAAAAAATCCAAAAGATCATGAAAAGAACGTATAAATACAAATGTTAAATAGAATTTTATAGGGATCCAAAAACAAATAATTAAAGAGAAAACAACCATTGTCAGTTTATAAAAAATAATACTCAGAATATGATAATAATACAATAATTTACATAAATTCATAAAACATAACGTTTATAATTCACATCAATTTTTATATTTTACCTCTTTATTGGCTAAAATTAATTTTTGTATTTGCAAATCTTGATTTTGGCATGCTTCAATGTTTCACGAAGAATAAAATCTTTTAATTTCCAATCGTTTTGGGAATGTATGAGTTTTTTGATAAAAGAAAGCTTTTTGTAGACATTTTCGGAGAAAGAAGATATGAGTTTTTAATTTACATTATTTCCTTTTATAAATGGTTTGTCAAGGGAGAACAGTGTACCTCTTCATCAACGGACGCACCCCTTCTATAAATGGTTTGTAAAGGAATAATAGTCCTACCTTTTCAATGTATTACTTATCTAAACACATTCAAATAATAGCATCGGAATAATATATAATATAGATGAAGGGTAAACTTGGTATATCTTAAAAAGTTGGGGGCAAAATGGGGAGGTAAAGATTCTCTGTATAGAAAAAACAAACCTTCAATCACAGATATATGACGCCAATGTCGTCTTCATCGTCGCTGATGGAGGTCTCCAATTTTCACAACTCTCATTACTGTCATTTTCTTTCATCATTATCAATCACCTACACCACTTGTTTTCGCACAGCCACATAATTCACAATGAAGTTTTACAGTGTCTCGAACATGAATTTTGGACAAAATAAAAAAATACATGAGTTTCTTTTCTTTTATAGGTGGTTTGCAATCACATGAATAGATGCATTGTCGCTTAATTAAACAATTGCATCTCTTTTAGATTAATTTATCTCAACAAACATCTTTGAATAGTCCCGTAGTTTCAAGGATAAAATAGGTATATATTAAAAAATGAGGGCAAAAATGGAAGACAAAGATTCTAAAAGCCTCATTTATATATAGTATAGATAGATGTATAGATTTTTTTTTTAATTTATTGATTTTTTATGTAGTTGTAATAAATATTTTTATTTAAAAAGAATCCATGACATTTAAATATTTAAAATAACTTTTTCTACGGTTGATATTATAGTTTCATATTTTGTAAAATATAAAATTAGTCTAATTATAATAATATCTAAAGCATAAAGTTTTATGATAACGAGCTTTATGATTCATGAGTGGTCGTAGAATTTTCTTTTTTAATTTTATTTTGATAAAAAGATTCAAAAAAAGAATAAAAACTTATCAAATGTGTTTATTTTTTATTAAAAAGAAAAATATAAAGAAACTTGAAAAAAAAATCAAATGAAAATAAGGGAATGAAAAATGTTACAGGAGCAATATTCTCTTTACTTCATGTTTCTTATATTCGATTTAGAAAACAAAATAATAAGAAATAAAAGATTTATTCTTCTTACGCATGATAAAATCATAGTACGAATTAAAATTAAATACTTTTAATATAAATAGTTACTAAGTATGTCAAATCCTATATTCCTTGTTAAAAATATATATATTTTTTCAATCACATTCTTTTTTTCCATCAAAGAAAGATATAACAAAATGACAATTTTTTTTTTTTTACTTTTAAGATTAATAGAGAATTAAACCATCAACTTTATAGAAAATGTGTATTTTTCTTCACTTGAGCTATGTTTGAATTGATTATTAAATATGTCAAACCGAACATAGTTCAAATGGTTAAGACACCTATCTCTGACCAAAGGATCATGAGTTTGAACCCTCACTCCCTTATACTAAAAAAAAAAGACTATTAAATATGATTTACGACCTGTAAAATTGCACTTTGATTAAAACATACAGAATAATTTCTTTTAATGGAGAAACATATGGAATAAACTAAAGAATTTAATACGGCTAACAATATAATTCTTATAGGTTATTTCATTCATATGTAACAACTTGATTTTATTTTTTTTTTTAAAACAACATTATTCCTTTTTTTTAACCCGAATGTTTGGTACAAGAGACATTGTTCATTTTCTAGATTTTATCTAAAAAGAATCACATATATGAATAGGTCGAATCAATAAATTCTTCGTATAATTTTCTTTTTCTTTTTTCGGAAAGATGATATCATTTTCTTTTGAATATAACATCATAATATTGAGTTGAGAGTTCAAATAGTAAGCCTATAAAAAAGTTATAGATGCCATAATTATTAAGTTAGGTTCAAGTTAACCTATTTTCTCTCGACTTAATTGTAGAATCTTTGGAGTTCAAGCTTTGATCCCCTATACCCAGAACTAACACCCGCTCTAAGACCTAGACCCGGAAGACATAAAGAGTTTTTGGTATTTAGTTCATCGGAATGTTCGAACTTGAGACTTCTAAGCCAATATGACCAAGAGATCTCAAACTCTTACCAACCAGGCAGCCCAATTTTTTAAATTTTTAAAATTTTTATTTTTATTTTTTATTTTTTTGCAAAAGGTTGGTACCTAGCCGGGTGAATTTGCTATATCTAAAAATAATTTTGCAAATTCTAAATTACCATAATCTAATTTCAAATCAATCCCTTTTTGGATAACCAACCTTTAAAGCGATTGTTACAAACATGATTATAAACCAATTTAATTATTGGAAAAGTAATTATTATTTGTTACTAAAGACTCTAGATTAAAAAATAAAATAAAGTTTTTAGCTCTTCAAAATCACCGAAAAAATTAATCCAACCATACTCCAAAGTCATCTAAGTTGGATAAAATTATAGTCCCTACCGTCAATTTTTTTCCAAAAACAACCCTCAATGCTATCTATATATACATTTTTTAAAGTAAGCTATCCCTGATGTCACTACAAAATTATGGTGAAAAAAAATGGTTGAACCTACAAGGGAATTTGATCAGATACCTGAGGCTTTGGTTGCTTGGATCAATTGCTAACAACTCTTTGGCATCAATGGTATGAATATCATTACGCTACAGGAATTTTCGGCTCTCCTAAGTTCACGAAACACTCGGCCCGAGCCATACGCCCTGTCGCTGCATTCCACGATACAAGATGGTCCATAAACACATCGACGTACTCTTTTTTATCATTCTGTGTGAAGATAACATACAAATTCAATCAATCAACATCAACACAAGATAACTTGATAATATAAGGTCGCCAAACTTCTCTGGTGGAGGAAATCCCCCCGAGAATTAGTAGAGGCGGGCCATGAGCATAATGCAAGGTATGGGCTCTCCAACTCCCATATTAGTGATATAAAAAATGATAAATATACCACACGGTCTCTCATCTTTTAGGTTTTTTTGTTTGAATTTTCAATTAAGTCATTCCATAAAGAATATGTTGTAATTTTTTAATAGAAATTTTATATGTCATTAAGTTATTGTTTTGTTAACATATTTAGATACGCAAGCATGCCACTTGAACATACCACTCGGAAGAAATTAACTTTGTTGATGAGTGGGGTTTGGTTTCATGGGTCGAGTAGTATCCAAGTGACATATTCACGCGTCTAAATATGTTGATAAAATAATACTAGAATAATACATCAATATTTTTTTTAACCAGGTCGAGAATTACCTAAAAGAATAGGATCATTGGTATATTTAGGCAATTAAAAGAAGAAAAAAAAAACAAGAATGCAGGCAGTAGGGTGAGGCAGAGTTTCATACCTTGTAATCAAGATAATAAGCATGCTGAGGAGGAAAAAACAAAGTAATGTTATCATAAATGATCAGTTCAAAATGAAGAAACAGAACACAGATTTGAACAACAAAGATTAGTTTTTCCTACCTCCCACATATCCAAGCAGATAATTGGCTGCACAACAATATATGGTGAATCAAATTTCTGAGAATAAAAGAACATTATACTCAAAATGGGGCACTGGCATTGACTTACAATGTCATCCCAAACAAGTGGGCTTATGGCATTCGACGTTTTGATCACGGCGAGTTGTTTTTCTTGTCTCTTCACTGATGAAAAAGAAGTAGGCCATGTCAAATGATCAGTTGTAAAACGGAAATTTGTGAAAAACAACAAGTGTTCTGATTTGTAAAACTTTTGAGATCATTAAAAAGGTTGAACCAATGTCTGAAAACTTACAAACAAGCCAAACCCAGCCAGAACCAAAGAGTGAAAGAGATGATTCTATAAACTTGTCCTTGAAATTTGAGAAAGAACCGAAATCTTTTTCAATTTGTTGTAGAACACCAAGTATGGGCATGTTTCCTCCTCCAGGTTGCATGGATTCCCAGAAAAAGTCGTGATTCCAGACCTGAGAATAAAGGTCATGAGCCTACATATTTTTTTCAATTTTATGCCTTGAATATGTGTTGCATTTCCCCTACTTTTACCATACATATCACTCGAAATATTATCAACGTAAAATGTTCTTGCCAGATTCATTCTCCTCTCCAGAAAAAAAACAAAAACAAATGCCAATTTTTCATCCAATACCATGTATTAATATTGAAGTACCTGGGCAGCATTGTTAAATTCAGGTAAAGGATTCCCATTGTTGTATGTTACTTTGAGAAGTTCATCCAAAGTGTAGCCATATAGTGTATCGTTCTGGCTCAGTTGTTTGTTCAAACCTTCAACGTAATTACGGTGATGTTTACCCCAGTGAACCTCCAATGTCCTCCGACTCAAATATGGTTCTAAAGCATCCTGAAAGTAGAGAAAGAAAATGAAAGAGTGTTGTTAAATAGTTGATAAATATAAATCCATTTTTATCAGTAATACTGCAAATGTGACAAATTTGTAATCAGGTTTGGTAGAAATCTGTAGGCTTACTATGAATCTATTTACCAAAGAGGACTATACGCAAAGAAAACCTGGCCACTTAACCTTTGAAGTTCTTCAATGGCTTGGTAGCATTTTCATTTTTTATTTCTTGTTTGTCAGTTTCAAATTTTTAGAAATATAAGCATTTGGTAATTGTTCATGAATTCTCGTTTTTCCTTTTTAAGAAACCTTCTAAAATTTTTAAAATTTTCGAAACAACAAAATCAGGTTTCTTGTTAAAACCTATATAAAATCATTATTCTATTTTTTTACTTATAAAATGCATAATAAATATAACATAAAATTTTTGAATATTTAATTTAAAAAAATTAATTTTCACATAAAAATTTTACCTTTTTAATCTAAAATGTTAGAGAACAGAAATAAAACTTTTACTTGTTTGATTCGACCCCGCAATTTTTGAACTCAAACAATAAAAACCCCCCAAAAATATGGTATATGCACATAATTCGGTTGGTGACTTACAAGTTCATAAGGAGGTGTCTTCAAGCCATAATAAGCAGTGACTTTCATTCCTCTTGGGGTTATATCAGAGCTTCTCTTATGCAACTTACTCTGATGCTGCAAAAGAACAAACATGCATCAGCTTCATTATCAAATAAATGGTTTCCAAAGGATTTCGGAACAATGACGAATACGGATATTGAGAATTTTCCAAGATGTGATGTTACGAGATAGAAACTAATCAATACAGCAACTCTTCGGGAGAGTTTCATCAAACAAGAAGAGAATAAAAGAAGAAAAACAAACATATGAACTATTTTTTATTTGTAATATTAAATTGAATCTGCTGTAAGAAGATGCTAAACAACAATGACAAGGAAGAGAGCAAGAGAGATGAGCTACCTTGATAACATAAAAATTTCTCTGAAAATTATTTTACTTCCTTAGAGTCAGCAGCCAAAACACATAAATATAGGATAAATCCAAAAATCTTGTATTTAAATAGTGACAAACATCTGGTAAAAAATGAAGCATGTCAAATGCACAATTCTGCTGAATTTATGAATCTGGGCCTGAAGTGTCTATATCTTCTTCTATACGGCAAGTTTTGATGTCAAACTCTAAAAAGAATAATATAGTAACTAAAGAGTCTCAGAAGTGAAAAGGGCTGTGTATTGAATAGAATCCTGACTTCTCAAATATCATCTGATGCGCACAAAATATAGGATCTAGGACTGGAAAGGTCCTTGGCTCATGACCAGACTCCACATGCATTGTTTCTTCAATATTAACAGTACATTCGTTTTAATGAAAACCCAAGCTTCCATTGAAAAAATGAAAGGATACAAAAAGACAGCTCAACAAAAGGAGTTAGATGGAACAAAACTAACTGTTCAGAAAAGGGCTCCTATCCGAGATAATTAGGCCTAACAGTACATATTATTGATGCAAATGGTAACAAAGCTACATAGACAAACAAGGGGGGTGAGAGAGAGAGAGAGAGAGAGAGAGAGAGAGAGAGAGCGCGAGAGAAGAATCAAAGGACAAAGTAACTTCATTGTGAGGAACTATTGCATTTTAGAATTGTTGTGATAGATTACACATGAATGAAGTGAATTATTTAAAGGACCAGGTAAGCATCAATCTGAGAATATGAAGGAAAGTGCAATGTACCAGATAAGGATGCTTGGGGCTCTTGAACTGCTGAGAAGAATTTGTCAGCAGAAGCTGAGAGTTCACATTCAGAGGATTGTAGCAAGAAATCATTGTCTTGTATCTCTGGAAACTAAATACTCATGAGCTGCTGCAGTCGTCTGAAGATCATAACACTCAATCCAGACCACAAAAAATTTATGGCAAAATCAAATACTGTTGAGAAGTATTAAAACTAACCAAAAACATTTAAAAGAAACATGTGCCTCTCCTACCAAACTCGGCCCACCCAGAGTTTGTGTCCGCGCTTGTTTTATTTGTTACATTCTTTTATATATGAATATACACACGTGCCCCAGCTTGCACGCATCTCGACTAATCTTTCAAGACAAATGTCCGACCCTACTACATTTTGTTACCAAGAAAACTCCTAAAATTTTAAATTCTAGATAGGTGGCCACCATAATTAAATTCATTCCCTCTAATCTCCTCCACCTTTTTCACTAGGCGATCAATAGGCCAACCATGGTGGTTTCTCTCTTGTTACATTCTTACAGATTCAAAATCATGAAGCATCCCCACATAGTCTCCTAAACATACCACCGAGCACCCATAGACGATAAAAAAAACTATCAGGCATTAACTCAAACGATTTATGTGCTTTACATGCTTAGAGCACAATCAAACGCCGTTTTCCGGCTACCAATATAATATTTCAAAGCCAAAAGTGAACATTTTCATTACAGGGGATAGATAATAAACGCATTGATCGTAAAATTTCTTCAGCAATCAAACAAATATTGGGTTTCACCTTTTCAATACAGTGACACTCTTACCCAACCGCAATACACAAAACAAAAGATTGCGGGAAAATGGGGAAAATGAATTTCGGCTAGCCCATATTTCAAGTTCCTAAAATATTCATAACCCATCGCCCTCGAGCCTAAAAAATTTCAAAAGGTCAGTGGACTGCACCTGCAGGAAGTTGGGTTGATAGATTTCTCTGCGTTTTTTCAGAGATAGAACAGATAGAAGTAGGAGAAGAGGGATTTTTCGTGTCGGTTTTGAGAAATTACAGAAATCTGCGGGAAGCTGGAATATTGCCGCCGGTGTTCAATTCGGGCTCGCTGGTAAGAAGAAGAAATTTCTGATTTCCCGCTACGTGCACCTGGGCAAGGATAAGAACTGTATTCTATTTTCTTTTTAAATATTAATATAATAATAATAATAATAAAATAAAATAAAAAAGAAGAAGAAGTGACGTATTAACAAAAACGAAAAAAAATTTGGGAAAAAAATTTCATACTTCGATGATTTAATTAACTTTTAATTTGTAATTATTTAATTTTTTTACTTTTTTTATTTGTAATAATATAGTTATTGAATTTTAGCGAATAATAAATTAGTTTATTTAGACTAACATACGCATAATTCAACGGTTAAAACATCAGGCTCAAGTTAGATTATATAATTTTTCAAGGTTCGATCCCTCGTCCCCTTATTTGTTATGCTACAATAAAAATCATATTAAGTGTCGATTTTTATCATGTAACAATTGCAGCTCTGTAGCTTGAAAGTATATTTAATTCCTTATCATTTTATCCATCTACCTAAGTAGGAAGCTCCATTAATTTTTAACAATATCTTACTACAGTAACTAAAATTGTTATATACTAAAATTCAAGGTTACAAATTATAGTTAAAAACCAACAAGTAAAGGGAAAATATATTTTTAAATATTTTTTAACCAAATAAAAACATAAAAATTGACGTGTATTTTAGAAAAATTTGTAACTTTGGGTGGCTTTTTATGAGTGTATTTTAAAAATTTGAACGTGTATTTTTATTTGGGATACCTTATTGAGTTAAATTTTGATTGTATTATTTTCATAGAATTTCAAACTTTATATTATATTTGAAAATACATGCTATAAATTCCTCTAAAATTAATTATATTGTGATATTTTCACACAACCCGAGCTCAACGGTGCCAACTAGTATCTTCTCATGTCGACCATCTATTCAAGCTATCAATGTCTCTTCTAATAACAAATTAGTGGAGGATACTGAAACAATGTAATTAGTAATCTCACACTGTCAGTATAGGAGAGAAAAATTACAATATTATTTTGAATTTGTATCAAAGGACTATATATATATATATATATATATATATATATATATATATATATATATATATTACCACAAATGTGGGGATGGAAGATTCATCCAACCTTAGGGGAAGAGTAAAATACCTTAATTGATGAGTTAAACTAATGTTGGCAGAGACATACAAATTTTAAATCTACATCAAATGATTATTAGATGACAATTATATTGTGACGATCATATTCAATAATTTGTTCTCCTTTGTGACAGTTTGAATCTTTGTTTTTTTTTAACATAATAATATTCTAAAAATGACAAGTATCAACTATTTAGACAATAGTCAACCAGAACATAGCTCAGCGAGTTAAGACAAATGTATTTAATTATGAGGTTGAAAGTTTGAATCCCTACCGTCATATGTTATACTAAATAGAACTATTTAGACAACAAATTATAATTATAAACATAAAATAAGAAAAAAAAAGATCAATATGGTTCTCTCTCTCTCTCTTTTTTTTTTTTTGCCCTTTTTTATCTAGTTAAGATATTTGCAACATCATATTTGAAGAAGAAGAAAATATAATTTTGTTCTAAGATTCAAATAACTTTATTAAATGAAGTTTAAAACTCTAGACATTTTCAAGCTTATTATTATTATATGGAAAAATTCAAACTCAGCTTATTATTATTATATGGAAAAATTCAAACTCATAATCTTTGACTAGTCAAATATAGATGTCTTAAATTGACATTGTAAATTATTTTAAGTTAATGTAACTTTAATTTATTAAGTTTGTATTTATTATATTCTTTATGTGGTGCTTACGTTTCAAGTTTTTCACTAAAGTCCCTTTATTAATTAAACATTAAACACACAAACAAAACTTATTAATCACATGAAAGTTGAACCAATTTATTTCTCGCCTCTTTAAAATAGATAAAATAAAATAAAGTTTCAGCGATTTAATAATTTCGTTGTTTTTAATACCAAAAACATATAAATACTATTTTTAAAATTTTCTTTTTTGAGTTACAAAATTAAAATACGAACCAAAAATTATTGATTCTTTGAATCTTAATAAAATACCAAACAAAAAATCCTAACACTCTCCCACTTTTGAACGATATATTTACATAATTTTCATACATTTCTCACTCATGTTGCACCCAACCTGTAGTACCACAACTCTCATCTGTGTAACAAAACTAGCTGCTCGAAACAACCAGCATAACACAATTAAGGGCGGGTCGATGGTTCAGATCTCCGTACCCACAGAATTAAAGAAAAAAAGTAGTCAAAAAAACCAGGAAAAATAAAACATATAAATGAAGCACATAAATTAGAAACACAGGCCTCACCAATCCAATAATATAAAGAAAAAATATTTCAACAGAGAACCTCTTGTAACAATAACTGGGAAGAAGAAGTTGTAAGCAATTATCCCATACAGTTCTCTCCCAATGTGAGAAAGCAAGAGCCAATGTGAAAATCAAAAAACAGAGAACCCAATCAAATCAATCCCCATCAGAAAGAAGAAACCTTGTAGGGCAATCTGCCTCCAATGGGAGGGAAAATTTTTATAAAATTCTGAGAACTGAATTCCATATTGTCAGTCAAAATCTTTTGAATGATTCAGTCCATAAAAACAAGTGCACAAGCAAGCAGTTGTTATCTGCAGTCTGCACCAACTGCTTCTTGGACTGACTTGAAACCATCTCTTTCTAAGCATTCAGCAAGTTCCATCTACAAAAAAAGTGTGTTAATTATCATCAGGTATAGGTTTTTCTTTTCTTTTCGTTTTTTGATAACCGGGATATCGAAAGCGGTCGCCAAGCCAAGTGATGCAGAACAATATAAGAACAAGAGGCTTCTTTCTTTATAGAGGCGGGGTTCAAGTCTCGAGACGGTGTGAGACATCATAAGAATGTATGATCCAAGCATACCAAGGAGAAAAAAACCATGCCTACTCATGGACACTTTCTTAAATAAAGGCTTCAAAAAAGTTATTTAAATTTATATCTTCAACGGAAGTAGTAATACGCTGGCTAAGAAGCATGGATACAAATACGATACAAAGACGGTGACATATAACAGGCACATTTATTAAATATACATTTTAAAAATACATATCGTTCTTATACAATTATATGCTTTAAAAAAAGTTCGATCAATTTTGCTCTAAAAAATTATTATTTTTGTCCTATGTTACTATTTATTTCCATTTATTAGGTTCAATAAGTATTAAATACTTTTGTAACAAGTGTTTAACATATGTCCAACAAGTATTGCAGCATTCGAGTATTCAACAAATGTCGAACATGGACACCGACACATTACCTAGACTAAGGTGTCCATGCTTCTTAGACTCGTGGTGGATGTGCATCAATTTTCATGTAATCCAAGCCTTCCACAATTTTGCAAAATGTAGATATATGTATAAGATAATACCTTTATCTGAGGAATCAGGGCAGGCCCACCATAGGCAAATGCTGTATAAAGCTGAACAAGAGTTGCTCCAGCTCGTATTTTCATGTACGCATCCTCACCACTGAACCAACAAGTATAATTATTATGGCTAACTTCATTATATAGAGAGAGAAAAAAAATAATCAACATCTGAAACAAAGTAGCTATTTTGGCAAAGAGATCCACCAAATATATACCTGCTAACGCCACCACAGCCAACTAAAGGAATTCTTCCCTAAAAAGGAACATAAGTATGTCAATTTCAAAGCATAGAATATATATAAATGATAACAAAATTCATTTCCTGCGTTCATGAACACATAATACATCACAAAATTGGGAAAAAAGCATTTATTGAAACCGAATGAACACCCATCCGTGATCAACCTGATAGGAATGACTTTAAGGGTAATTAGGGATATTAGTAGGGTATTGAGGGTACCTTAGTAATTATATATAGAAAGTTGTTAGGGAGAGTATTATAAATAGAGTGAGGGTGTAAGAATGAAGGCATCCAATGAGTGAGTATGGTTTTGGCTTGAGTGATATCTCAAGAGGGGAGGGGTCCTAATACTTGGTAGATATTGTAGTTCGTTTTTTTATCTTTCAATATATTTCAGGTTCTATCACAATCCTAGTCGTATGCTAGAGGTTAACAGTTTACATAGAATTATCAATTTAACTGCTATAAGTTATGACTAATGAACAACTTTACATTGCTAGTTTATCCTAAAACTTCACATCATAACACATCCACACTGTTGGTTCTAGAAGAGGAAAGGTCCATGGAGACACTCAAGAACCAGCTCAAAATTGGCTTAAATTTAATATTTTGTCCCAATTCTGAACTTGAAGAAAGAAAAAATATACCTAACCTATCAATTAAAGCTTTAGGGTCCAGTGCATCACATCATAGCAGAAGGAAGGTCATAGGTTCAAACCCTACAATGTTATTTCGTTCCTAGTTAATATTGATGGTCACTTGTTATTTATTAAGTATCTACAAGTAAAGGTCGCGTAAAAATTGAAATTTTGGATTTAATGGATTTATTGGTAGTTTAAAAAAATTAAAATCCACATGGAAAGATTAGCTAAGATATCAAAGGTAAACAATGAAATGAAACTCAAAAAAGAGGCGGAAAAGGTTGAAAAGAACACTATAGGCCTGGTAATTGCCCGGTAAGTGACTAAGCTAAGGATGTTCAACTGCAGCATGTCGAAGAACTCGAAATGGCCATTCTCACCAAGTGCACATTATTTGACTATGTAGGGCAGTCCAATGAAGTAAAAGTTTCAAATTTCATGAGGTTTGCCAACATACCCTGGTCAAAACATACATCTCCTTTAAGATGCTGGTGGATAGATTGAAGAGAGGCTTCCCACTCAATCCACCAGCTTCAGTAGCCAATGGATTTTTATCAGCGGGCTCTGGTCTTGAAACAGTTGTATTTGTTATAATCTAAAACCAAATAGAGCCAAAATCAGACAGCACTCAAAAGTTAATTTTACCAAGCAACAAAATTACAAACTAGTAGGATCTAAAGTTGCAAATCTAGCATAGCCTGTTGTAGAAAGGAAAAAAAATATACATACCAATCCATCCAAGCGGAGGGCTAAAGCAACCTACAACCAGAAATAAAGTATATTTAACATAACTATACAAGAATGACTGAAACGTGAAAAGTAAGAGATAAAAACTAGCATTCACATACAGCTGCTATATCTTCAAGGTCTTCTTTAGACAAATCAGGGGCAATTTTCACAAGTAGAGGAGGAGGACCCTCCTCACCCCATTGCATTTCATCCCGAGCCGCTTGAACCTTGATGAAAAGTAAAAGAACTCGTGACAAGAACTCTCAACAAGTAACTTAATGAATATGGTGAAGCCCTTGCTTTATACCTTTTTAACAAGGTCCTTCAATTGCTTCCTACCTTGAAGCACACGCAATCCAGGGGTATTGGGTGATGAAACATTAATCACCTGTAAAGAGGTAAACGAATTACAAGGAAGATGTATCAATTGCTTGAAAGGATTTGAAAACGTTGAATAGACTAGCTGAGGAAGATTCATAAAATTGTAAGAATACTTAGCCGTCAAAACCTTCATGTCATAGATTTTCCTATACATCATCATAAGCATGGAAGATATGTAGTACTCAATTTAAACTCCTATTGACACCCTATATTTTAGAACTTTAACATACTTTCTAGAAATAAATATATGATGAGATGATCTAACAACTTTTAAATGGTTTTTTAAGGGAATTGGCACATGCCCTTGGAGCACTACAGTTCCACCAAATACTAATCCAGTGGCTTTATGACAAACAGATACCGTTACCAAGCACCACGCCACCTTCCTTCCCTTCGTTTCCCCACATTCAAACACAGAAGACCACACAACTGATAATAGTCATGCATCCTAAATAAGGCACTCTTCATAATACAGTCCATTGAAGTATTTCTGCAGTAAAAGCAAATTAGCTGCCAAAAACACTAACTTACTTCCGCTTTACTGTTATGATCGAAACCAAAATTATGAAATTACAAAATACAGATACAAAATAACTTGTTCCCTTTCATTATTTTTCTGTAGGTGAATGAACACAGCTCCCAATAAGAAAGAGAATTATGGCCTCAGTCTCAATTCTAAACTTGGAAGAGTAGGGGATAGGATGCAAATGACCCTAAACATCATTTAAAAACTATTTCACATCTGCAGATGAAAGCAGCAATCTTAAGCATTTGTTATTTAGTTACTTCATACAGAACAACTAATCTCTTGTTTGTTATTTTGAACATGATAGGACAAAACATTGATAACCTAGATAACACATGGCAAAAGCAGAAAAAAATACCAAGTAATCAGCATACTGGGATAATGTATGGACCCCTTGCACATAGTCTGCAGCAGCATCTTCACTGGTCTTGTTCTTTCCGAGATTGACCCCAAGAATTCCCGGACCAGCTTTACCACCATGTTTAACGTCATCACTAGAGGAAGGTGAAGTGCTTGAAGTTTCATCTAACTTTCTTTTTCCGTGCTGGGCACCTAACCTCTTTGCAACTACAACAATTCCTTCACTGTTGAAGCCGTATCTATTAATGATAGCTCTGCCCAAATGAAAATATTTATCAGTTCAAGGAAATATAAATAGGCAACCATAGATAGACCAATTCTCACAGCATCATAAAGCTCCACAAAATGAAAAACCACACAAAAAATACCAATGAGGGTTTGGACATAATGATATTATAGTTATTGTACAAAAGGCTTTTACGAGAGACGTGACAAAGTAAATAAAATCCATTTCCTACCCTTCCCCGCGCAATCGAAATACACGAGGTTTTGGATTGCCTTCTTGTGGAACAGGTGTCACAGAACCAACCTCCATAAAGCCAAAGCCTAATCCAAGAAGACCATCAACAGCCTCAGCGTGCTTATCAAAACCTGCAGCAAGACCTATGGGATTTGAAAAGTTCCTTCCCCAAACTTCAAGTCCTAAAATTGGTGGATCGGGCCTCTTCTCCCTTGGAACCCAACCACGGGCTGCTGCTGAGACGCCTAGCCTATGCGCAACCTCAGGGTCAAGGAGGGCAAAGAATGGGTTAACCAGTTTCGTGGCGGAGAATAGCCATCCACTGCAAGATACCAAAAAATGTAATCAAATTTAAGGCTTTGATGCATTGTCCAATTTAGTTCCAATAGATAATGTAAGGTTATAGAATACTAATTGCACAAGGGATGGATTAAGAAAGAGTTGGGCTTTACTGAAATCGAGTGAGATTGTACCATAGTATTTACAAGGCTTAATTTTCATGATGAATGGTCTGCAGTTTCAAAAGCTTTATCTATTATAAATGTATACCTAAGATACATACATCAGATCACACAAAGATCTAAATGCGTCACCATGATGAATGGTATGCAATTTCAATAAGTAGGCATACATCAACATCACACAAAGATCTAAAAGAGGTACCAGAAAGTTGCTTCATCCACAGTACTCACATAAGCACCTCCAGCTATCACTAGGCCTATGGTGGCTCCGGTTAATAATCTCCCCTACAAATGAAAATAACTGCATAGAGTCAGGCTACGCTTTAGAGTAAATAATCATTAGAAAAGTTGGCAGCGCCATATAGTACTAGCCAATAAATAGAGAAAAATAACATTTAGAAGTAAATAATAATTAAAATAGTTAATGATATCAAAAAGTCATTGCTCCATTATCATTCATTCGTTCTCATGAAACCATTCGTGACAGAAAGAGAGAGTGATATGAAGAGAAATAGACTCCCAAAAAGGTAAATTTACACACAGATAGATAGTCAAGGGACACTTCACATTCATTAGTTAGATAAGAGAATGATTCACTTATGACTAACAAACTAGATAGATAGTCAAGGGACACTTCACATTCATTAGTTAGATAAGAGAATGATCCACTTATGACCAACAAACTGGAGCAGGAACAAAAAAAGCCACGAGTACCAGCAGAGAGAGAGAGAGAGAGATCATTGGGGAGGGTGGAATTTATATAATACAACTCCCTTGATTTAATGAAAAAATAATGTCTCTCAAAAAAGCTAGAGAAATAGAAAAACTGGGCACTGGAAAATTAAGTTGACCAACGAAATAATCTTGTTCCTTACATTTATTTATTTATTTTGAAATAAATGTTCCTTACATTTATGATTTCCATAAGAGGCATATCAATTATCTAGGAGACACAAAAGACCCAAATATTGACAAATGACTGCAATACAAATTTATCTTGAACAATCCAAGAAAATAAGGGGTCCTCTGAAAATGTCTTCTAAAAACAATTCTTGAAATATGTTTTTGTAATTAAAACCAAATTTCGCTAATAGGAATGACGAATGTAAAAGGAACGAGCACACAAAAGCATGGCCCAACCCAACCAACACCAGGACAACAAAATTAATGACATGATCCCCAATTGTGGGTAATAAAAAACAAAAGAAGATTATAATTAGTGTTTTATAGAGCCGTTTTAATAACTGAATTTCTTCTAAAAGATAACTTCGTCCAACTGTACAAAGGTCGCTTCCCCTAACACTCTAAAGGCAGAAGACTAAGAGTGCTCCTGGGATCCTTCCAACTAATTGAGCTCTAATCAAATGACATCCTTTCCTTTCCAATGATACTGTTGTCAAAAGGCATATGTTTTATCTGATCAGATTTTTATTCAAAATTCAACTTGTTCACAAAGGAAAATCAAGCTAACCATCTCTCACAGAGCTTCCATCCACCACTTGCCACAAAAAGCTTCAAATTTGTACTATCCGACAACATGTTAGGGAAGTATAAGGGGAGGAGTAGGCATTCAAACTATCTCAAAGAGAAGCAAGAATTGGTCCAAACTCAATGGTCAAATTATGCAAACTCAATGTCATGAAATTGGTCAAATCAATTACAAGCAAACAAAAAAACTTCTTCAAATTTGGTATCGATGCCATTACTCCTTTTTTTTCTTAAAAGGTACCGAACTTTCATTTAGATAAAAATGCAACTCTAGCGAGAGGAACCAAAGTAAACCAAAAAAGGGCTGAATCTAACAAAATAAGACCTAATGGATAATTACAAAAGTCCTCAGCCACCCACGCCCAAAAAGAGACCCGAAATCTAACGAGAGACTGAACCTCCTTCCAAGATCTCTCCACCCTTCTAAAAATTCTATTATTTCTCTCTATCCAAAAACCCCATGAAATACCACAAGAAAGGTTCTTGATATCAACTAGTGCCTCCTTTCATCAAAACCTTTCTTGATATCAACCAAACCTTCTTTCATCAAAATATCAACTATGGAAAGGTTCTTGATCAATCCGTTAAACATCTTGATCTTCCTAAATAAGGATCCCTCTCTAGATTTCCCATGACTAAATCTAGACAGTTCCAAATCTCTCCCAAGACAACAAATATCAAAGTAGGCCAAAGAGATCCTCAATTTCTCTCCTATATTATCTCCAACAGAGGAAAAATGGACCATTGATCAAAAGCCAAAGAATAGTCACATCAACGAGGAGAATACTAACCCCATTGAGCAGGATCCCATTCTCGTGCTAGTATATGGGAGTAGTGCTTGGTCGGAAACACAACCTAGACTGTGGAAGAGATAGGTCCATGAGAATAAATTGGCATAGCAGATATGGCCAGATTAAATAACAGTAAACCACATGTCAGTTCTGGGAGCTCAATTACATGTAAGAACTCCTTGTCTTCTAAAGTCATCATAACATGCTTTTGTGCCCATCACAACCCACCTATGCACAAAAATGTGCACGCTCATTCGAGTCGCCAAAAATGTAAGTTAATCAAACAACGCATGAAATTTAAGCTTCAAAAGGGAGATGAGCGCAAGAACAAAACAATCAACGTTAAGCATCAAGCTCGTGAGGAAGAAATCCAGAAATAAAACAAAACATTAGAGGCGTTCGTCGATCCCAGCAAAGCTTTCTAGCCTCAAAATTCTCCTGACGCTAAAGAATACAATTGGAACCTTCCCTATCAGTAATCTAGTTTCTTAATTACACATATAACCGGGGTAACCATAAAGAATTTCAACACCAATTAGTCCAAAAGCGATCGCAAAACCTCGTATAGGGAAAAAAATCACCTCCAAAGACCCAAAAGAAAAAACAGAGACAGAGTCTCTACCTTTCTAGAAGTGTGAGGGATCTTATGAATGGTCTCAGAAGCCGTAGAACAGTGTCTCGCGCCTTGAAGAGGGCGTGAAACCGCCCCTTTGAAGAAAGCATCTCTTATTAGTTTGCGGGTAGCCGTAGCCGCCATGAACAAACAAAACCCAAGAACGTACGAGAGAACAGAGAGAGAAAAGACAAAAATGCTCTGAGCTCCAAACAAAATGATGAAGACTGCCAAATGGTCGGACTGCGAGCAAACCTCGCCGGAACTCCGACGGTTTTCGAAATCCGAACGGTGGTTGTGATTGCGGCGACGGCGGCGGTGGTGAACGCCACAAACAAAATTTCGCCCAAGCCCGTGCTCCCCCTATGGGTGATTCCTTTGTAACGTTTATGACAATTTCAATTTAGTTTATGATTTTCTAAAACTCGTTAGGGTTTAGGGTTTTAATTGTAATGTAAATATTTAATAACTAATGTTTTTAATGCTTATGCTTTTCTAAAAAATTGGATTCTCCTCAACCTTTTGATTGTGATTAAGGAATATGATTCTATTTCCACCTTTAAAGGTTACGATACTTTTCAATATAATATAATCAAATATAATTGTTTTGATCGGTTTCATAACCCTTTCTGATTTCTGTTTTTAGTTTTTATGTTTTATATTTTATTCATTTTAGTTTTATATTCTTAAAAAATAAAAATCATAGGTGAGGTTGAACGCATTCAAAAACTGAAGCGCACACTTGAAAGTGCTTCGAAAGGTGTTAGCAGGTGCGCGTAGCCGTAACTCACTAGGTCGAGTCTTTGACTTTAGATAACAAAAAAAAGGCATCCGTCCCTTAGGTTGTCAACTATGACGACAGTTTCGCCTTTCGATCACGCCAGTCACGTAGGGCGACAGAAAATACTATATAAAGTAGATATGACAATGTTATGAGTGCAAGTGATGATGTTCTCCCACATTCTTGTGCTCGTACAAATTTTTAATCCCCGCTTCCACCTCGTTTCTTCGGTGTGAAAGATGTTCTCGATAAAAATTATCGGTTTTATAATTTTTTATAATTATTTTTAGAATTTAAATAATAATAAAATGTAATAAATATATATTAATTATTTACAAAATAGAATATGAAACGGGTCATGTCTTTCCTATTTTTTTAGGTCCGATCCTCAAATGGTTAGTTATTTATCCGATGAGAAGTGGTTTTTTAGTAGATTAGTTATTAGTTATTACATGGTAAATATTATTCTCTCCATTACGAGTATAGTTTGAAATTTGTTATAATATTATGAAAATATTTTTAATTAATGAAATATACTCTTCCATGTGTGTGGGAGCAATTTGACATTTGGGTATATATTTAAAACAAATGTTTTTCGAAATTTCAAAAGGACAAGGAAAATATAATTGATTTAAAAGGTCGGTGGTTTGTCATAATATTTATTTAGTATCACCGTATTTTTGTTTCACTCACAATCAACTGAGAACATATGCTTAAACAAACGACTTATCCTGATATTATATTCTCCGAGTTGCTTTTTGTTTCATTAAAAATATCTTATACACCTATTATAGATATATATATATATATATATATATAATCTGACTACTATTACATAATGAATGAAAATTAGTTTGGGAAAATTTTTACTTATTTGAGAATTAGAATAATTTTTGTAACTCATAAGTTATTTAGATTTGATATTATAGATTTTCTGCTCATTGTAAGTTTTATTTGTTTTTCTAACGCAAAAATGTATGCTGGTTGAAATTAGAGGCAAAACGTTAGCAGACAACTACAAAATTATGGTAGTACTTAACAAGCTAAAAAAATTATGAGGATATTATAAAGCTTTATCTTCAGTCTAAAAAAAATATATTTATCCCGTTGTTTACCATTAAATCACGTAAAATGCAGAAAAGAAATCGGAAAATAAGAAGCAAATGTAAGGGTAATTTTTTATTTTTCAATAAAAGGTAAGCATAATTGAATTAGGTAATTTGTTTATTTATTATTATTCTGCAATCTATTTAAAATTATGTAAAATCTTTAGTTTTTTAAGGAAAAAAAATCCGGGATTTTTTTTATATATTTTCAAAATTGTTCTTATTTTTTATCTCTCAATACTTTTTATTTTTTAATTAATTCTTTTATATTTTTACTATTTATTTTTTTACTCATACCACCAATAACTTTTCTTCTAATAAAAGTTTATTAGTTGATGTGATTATACAAATTTATATTAATGATAGTTGTTCTAACAAACATTTATTTTAGTTGATATAATTTTATTTTAATTATTTATTTTTGGTTAATATTAAATAAATTGTTGTAATAATAAAATTTATTATATTCCGACAAACCACTAACGTTTACTATGAATAAAATAATAACAAATAAAATTGTTTATTATATTTTACTTAAAAAAAACATTAGTATAATAATGTAATTCTAATTATAATTACCTTCTTTCATGTTGCTGCCATGCCATTTCTGACTCACCAATCACCGGGAAAATTTATTGTACTGCGAGACTACAGCTACTGTTTCCATTTGCTCACCAATCACGCGAAATTTTCTCTGCTTGTTTCCCGAGAAAAACGAATTTGAATGCTACAGAAAGAAGTCGCCATGGCAGTCGGCATCCATGTCGAGGACGACGCTATTCAATTCTTGAATCACAAATACCGAGCTTCTTCGGTAATATTCTCACGATTTGTTTTCTGTGACACTAATTTTTTTCTTAAAATAATGGAACGAAAAGTGCGAGATTACTGTTTGAGAAATTCTCTCTCTGGTCTGATGAAGTCTCGATGATCCGATTGACTGGAGTGTAGCTGAAGATCTCCCGGTGAGTCTCCGTTTCGCCGAGCTTTTCTTACTGCATTTTTTTAGACTTTGTCTATGGTTTAACTTTATGTAGTTGATTCACTCTGTCGTAGAGTTCTCCCTGATCTTTTAGATCATCTGCTTAGCTTTCTTTTTCTATTTTCTCCTCGTTTTTGTTTGTTTCTGGGGAAAACTACTTGGTCAAGGAGCAGCCAGCAGGAGTTGTTTATATTTTTCTAATTACTGTAGCTGCTGAGATTGTTTTAGTTCGGAAATTTCAGTTTCCAATAACTTTTTGTTGTTTCTAGTTCTAGGATCAAATCTTGTTTGGACTCGTTCTCAACGGTTATCACTCTGCTTTTCGCACAAACTGTTCCTCAAGTTTCCCCAATTTCGCTCCTATCGGTTCTAATTCCAGAAGAATACGATAATTATAATTTATGATAAACTTTTGGATCCCGATCGTCCGAAATCATCCATTGTCCACGAATTTAGGTCAACTGATGCTTTTTTGTCCTTCGAATTAATGCAGAAGGAGGACATGTCACTATTACTTGATATCCTGCGTTGCTTTTGCTGTTGTTTTGATGATTCTCATTTTGACAACAATTATAACGACATTTCCACAGCTAATAGTTATTCAAGGACATGTGTCCTTGGAAGTAGTTATAAAATAACCCAATCTGATACATCTACTGCAACTCCTCTTCTTTCTGATTATTATCCAAATCGTTACAAGGCAAAAGAGTCCGACAGGTTTTTAAGGCCACCCTCTCCCAAGATATTGGAAAAGAGTACTCAGGCGTCCCATAATGCCAATGCTTCAAGACCTCATTTTTCTTCATCTGTATTCCCAAAACCTTCCTCACAGCCTGTTGCTCCCCTCTCTGGAAAATCAACTTTGTCTTCACATCTCACTCCATCAAGCTCTATTAATGCTACTCCAAAAGGGGTTCCATCCCCATCAAAACTCCCTGCGTCTTCTCCCAAGCCGCCTCCAACCTCAAATCCGACTCTGCATCCCGGTCCCGGTCCCGGTCCCCATCCCTCCAATAAAACATATGCACAGGAGTATGTGTTGGATGGAAGTGGCTTTTTGCCTTCTTCTAAGCCTGCTGTAACTGTCCTTGGACGGATAACTTTGCCTAAGCATCTCAGTCCATCAAACTCTATTAATGCTCCTTCTTTGTCTTCTTCATCTTCCTGTGGTAGCAATTCGCCTCCGTCCACCCCTCCTAGACTTCAAACGGCGTCTAAGCAGCCATCTCCTTCACCACTTTTCTCTGGCTTAACCCAGAATTTGGCTAACCAACTTGTTTCTTCACCGAAACTGCGAACAGCAACTTCAGAACCCTCAAAAACTTCTCTTCCCTCACCATCTACGTGTTGCCACGAGCCTCCTCAAACCTCAAACCCAACTCTACGTCCAGCTTCCTCCAGTAAAACAAATCCACATGAGTATGTATTGGATGCAAATAGTTCTTTGCCTTTATATTTAATTCCAAGGGATGTTGAAGATTTGATAAAAAACGACATCGTACCCCAAGTCCTGAGGAAACCTTTGTCTCCTCTGACGTATAAGTCTGGCTTTGCTGCTCTGCTCCATGCTGAGGACTTCTATTATAAGGTCAGCTTGCACAAGCTCTTCTTTATGCCAACAGTTTCTTGTTGATTTGAATTGATATATGATAATTCTGTTTGTGCTTGACCAGAAATGGAGTAACTACAAATTGGAAAACGTCAGTTTGGAGCTCCAACAAATAACAATTCATAAACGAACAAACAAGAAAACGAAGTTCAATGGCCATGAGAAGGTCAATAAAACCTTTGTGGCAATCGAGATTGACTCTGTTCCTGAACGGCGGCCGTTTCTCTTGTCAAGGGATTTGGTCCATGCAAGACTTTGTGGGAGGAATCTTGAGCCTTTTCAGGTATTACTCGCTAAATTAAATTGTTGTTCAATCTTTATAATCCAGAATAACTATAGAAGTTCTAAGTATATTTTTCTTCGTTTTGTTTTATACTCTTTTCAAATTTTAAAAATAAAAAAAAATTAAAAGAATCTATTTTTTTAAATAGAGCTAAGAATTCAAATATACTTATAAGAAATATGAAAATATATCAAAGAAATTGTGATGTAACAAATATACTTTTTATAAAGACTCCCTTTAATAGCCAATTTATTTTTAATTTTCTATTTTTTTAAATTAAATTTTCAAACTGTTACTTCCACCTATGTATTCCTTTATCTTGTCATCAACTTTTAAAAATATTTTCAAAATCTAAACCAAATTTTGAAAAGGAAAATCCAAAAACTTGTTTTTTTTCTAAGATTGAAAAACATACTACTAGAAAACAAGCATAAATTTTAGGGGAGGAAAACTAAAAACAAAATTGTTATCAAACAAACTCATATGTACCGCTTCAAACTTTTTGTTGAACAGGGTTTCGTCTACCGGATTGCTAAGAGTAATACTGCATTGGGGAGGAAAAGTTTTCTGTTGGTTGATTTTGGAGACGACTTTCATTCTCGGCATCATGAAACCAACAAATATGATATCAGTTTCACCTTCAACAGAGTTTGTCTAAAAAGAGCTCACCAAGCCGTAGAAGTAGTATCTGATTCTTTGTTCCAGAATTTCCTCTTTCCTGGATCCAGGTCAACTGATGGACACGCCTGCATTCAAGTTACACATTATAGTCATCAACAACTTGATCCTGATCAAAAGAATGCCGTTCGTCAGATTTCGCTCTTACGCGGTTCACCGCCTTACCTGATCAGAGGTCCACCCTCTGTTCTTGTTTATGGCTGGGGGGAGAATCGAAGTTTCGGGATCTCGAGAACAGGAGCAGTTGTTAAAGGAGCAGCATTCCAGATCTATTCAACCTCTCCCAACAGTCGAATTCTGATATGCGCCCCTACAAATACAACATGTGATCACCTAATGATATCTTTGAAGAAGGTGATTCCAGAGTCCAAAATGTTTCGTGCCACTGCCGCTTTTCGAGAACTAAAAGACGTACCATACGACATCTTGTCGCTGTGTGATTACGACGAGATCAACGAGTGTTTCACTTGTCCTTCCCTCGACGAGCTCCACGAATACAAGATAATATTCTCGACGTTCATGAGCAGTTTTCGACTACATGCTAAAGGCTTAGCTGCTGGACATTTCAGCCATATTTTTCTGCTGGATGCATCAGCAGCTATCGAGCCCGAGACGCTGGTGCCTTTGACTAAGTTCGCTACAGATGCTACTGCTGTTGTAGTTACTGGAGAGGCAGGAAAGCAACCGAACTGGGTTCGCTCGTCGATTGCTCGAAGACACGGATTGAAGGTATCCTACTTCGAGAGGCTGGAGGAAAAGTTTTCATATAGAAATCTTGATCCATTGTTTATTTCAGAAGTATATGAGGAAGATCCAGAAAGCAGGAACAGCTTTGTATTGTGAGTTTAAATTAGAGTTATATTATATTCACTGTAATGTAAAGTACTTCCTGTTAAATTAACTGCCTCAAGTATGTAAATGTCACGCGGTGAATGTTGATTATAAGATTTAGTTAAGCTTTCATATGTAAATTGTGTAATATGTATGATCATGATGTAACAGGCCTGAACTTTATTAGACAACTTTAATATTTTATTTTTAAACTTTTAGGACTTTTAAGGGTGAAAGTACATGTTTACCCCTAAATGTGTAAAAACTCCATCCAAAAATATTGAAATCTCTCTTTCAATCTCGTTTTCTCTCTAGTTTCTCAATCTCACACTCCCCATCTCTTCAAACTCATAGCTTCTTGTTATCTATTATGAGTTTTCCCACTCTTCTATCTATGCTTAGTAAGTTTCTTATATCATTTTTTTTTGTCATTTATTTGAGTCTTCTTGTTATTATTATTATTTTTTTTGTTGTTGATTTGAGATTTCTTTTTTCATTGTGTGTTTGGATTTTCATGCTAGATGACTTAATCTTTCACGAGTGCAGTTATAAATTGTTCCAATTAAACCAACTACCATGTGCACATGCAATTGCTGCAACAATATACCACTATATAAATACATATAATCTAATACTCTCATTACTATACTACAAAATGTATGATGGTTCCATATGCATAAACTATTTTTCCAATCGATCATGTTTCAGAGTTAAAGACATCATTAGATTATTGTGAAATCTAGGTATCATATACCTCTCGAAGTAGTAGCAAAGAGTGTTGGTCAACGTCCAAAGAGAGAGAATCACGTCATTAGGAGAAACATCCAGATAGCATAAATGTGCTAGATGTGATAAAAAATAATGGCACAATGGATTGACATATCGTGTTAACTTACAAAACGTAACTGGTTCTGTATAGCATCATCTTGCATGCAAGACAACGTGATATCCTCATATTTCTAATTTTTTCAAATTTAATTTTAAAAAAGGATAAATGGAGAAAAAAATAGTCTACAAGTATCTCATTTGATTAAAAAAATAGACAAATTAAGGGAACAAATTCTCCATGTTCAAAATATTGTACAAGCAAGACTTTTTGGACCTACCTGCTTACAAATAGCAGCAAGATATGGTTCTTTAATATATTTTTAACCTTTCTCAAAACATCTGCTAAGGATCCAACATCCATTTACTCTAGGATGATATACATAGAGCCATTATCATAAAGAGATTGGTAACAAACAACAATATAGTGACACTGCACTGATTGATTGATAGATTTTCATTTCTTGAATGATATGCTAGAGATACATTGATATGGTTTCAGATCGTTGTTTCATGAAATATATAAAGGCTTTTATCTTTTCTTTAGAGAGGATGGTTAAAAACTATAAAATAGGCATTGAAATAGAGCTCTACCTACACGTTGAAAAACATGATTCTCCTCTGGAATGTCGAACGAGCTGTCGAACATGTTAGTTTTAGGAGTTAATCGCTCGGAAATCACAGTTCTTCGACCTAATGATGATTATGATGCTTGATAATAATTAAGAAGGTAATTTTCGAGTAGTCGGGTTCAATCAAAAAGAGAGAACAGTCGAGTCGTCTTTGTCAAACCATGCGAGTGAAAGAGAGACGCAAGACAGGAGGAAAGTTAGGGTTTTTAAAAAAAGGGCAATAAGGTCTTTTTACTTCCAAAAGTCAAGTTCAAAAATTAAAAATTGGTGCCAAAGGTCTTACCCACCTAACCCAAGATTCTCACATTAGACATTTTGTATCTAATGGTATATAATTTTTACAACTCACATAATTATTAGACAGAAAAAATTAAAATAATTATTAGACAGAAAAAATTAAAAGGTCAAAGATTCTATTAAACACAAATTTCAATTTTATTTTATTAAATCCATCAATGTTAAAAATATCAAATTTTACGACACAGAATTAGAAGTTCTAATATCTTTTAGACACAAAATTACTCATATAATTATTAGACAGAAAATTAAAAGTTAAGATTCTGTTCGTTTTTCAAAAAAAAAATAAATAAATAAGATTCTGTTAAACACAAATTTCAAGTTTATTTTATTAAATCCATGTATGCTAAAAACATCAAATTTTACCACACAAAATTGAAGTTAAAAAACTTATAAGACACCTTTTAAAGTTTCAAGACCTAAAATTTAATAACTAAAAGTTGTAATTTAACCATATAACCCACTCATGTAATAACACTCAAAAAGCGAACAAATCAACTTGACCCACCGAGCCAAACCAAACCATATCTTAACAAAACCAATCAAAAAATCAAATCAATCCAGCATAACAAAATGGTTAAAAGTATTAGTAACCTTTCCTATTTTATCAGAAGTTCAAATTCTCACCCCCATAAATTGCAAAACATAATATTAGAGATTTTGACTTGCACCCCTCTACTTGTTAATATACAAATGCATCCCAAATTGAATTTATCCATAAAAATTCAACACATACTGAGTATAGTGCAATGCAAGTAATGCAAGTTCCTTTATCGAAATATTTTAATGAGAATAAATCTTGAGATATCCTAAAAAAATACTTCTCTACCTAAGAACGTCCATAGGGCAAAATTCTTTAAAAACCAATTCATGTGGCAGACAGGCTAAGACTGGAATCTATGATGCTGACAAATGCACAATATTTATATCCATGGATTGAGAATCAGAGGCGTTAAATCTTCCTTCTACAGATTCTAATTTCCTATAAAATCCTCCTCCCCTCACCAGTCACCACACAACAAATGGAATTTCCAACCATCCAGTGAATGTCTACCCTATAAAAATTTTGGTATTTTGAATGTCTTCGAGGTTGCGTTAACCAATCAATGCCTTCAAAACATATTACATGGTGACAGAATATTACCCTATGTTGCAGGAGCAGCAGCCATCTGCTTCCGTTTTTCTAGTAAGGCTGCCGCAGCTTCCTCTGCTATAATTTTCTTTCTAGTAGCAACCTGCATGTTGAAATGGTAAAAAAGTTAAGGGAAAATACAAATTTTGCAAAGGAAATGAATGTAGGAGACTTCCCAAGGACCAGCTTTTTGAGAGACAAAGATAGGATCATTACTAGGAGTCTCTAGGTAAATGTGGGCTGATACCCTAATTACCGTTATCTCTAGCCAATGCATATATAGACCGTAAAAATCTACTAAAGTGATTGAGAGCTTTGGACACTAGTATGTAACGAGACAAAGTGGTTCAGTTTGCAAAAGAGATTTTGAAGTATACTAAGAAAATATCAGTTGGTGAATGCATAATTGGGTATACGTTGATCGTGGGAACTAGATGAGTGTTCACCAAAAATCAGGATCCTCCTTGCCCTCAGTTCCTTAGCAAGATTAGGCCTTATGATGACAGCTTCATATTTTGTGGCTATTGGAGCATCAAAATTTGAACTGTAAAAACTGCTCAAGGACTAAGTCATCAAGGGCTCAAGTGTCAGTCCGACTCCACAACATTTGCTGTTGGAGGAACCATCAACACAGAGAGTCTAGAGGCAACTATTTTGCTGACTTGGCTCAAACAATTTCATATTTGATTCGAACATCGCAACAAAATCAATCAAGGCTTGAGCTTTGATCGCTATTCTCGACTCATAGGAGATATCAAACTCACTCACTTGGCTCAAACAATATATCTACTCAATGCGACTAGTCTTCTATTAACCCTAGATTCCCTATTGACGGTAAGTTCCAATTTCTGAAGTGCCAGAGATATGAGTGACCAAAAAGTGCTTACCTTCAATTATATGACGCAGCACAAAGTCAAACCAGTAGATCTTAATTGCCTACATAGAACATCATAGGGAACATATTGTACACGGTAACTTCAAACAATGAATATCTCAATTGACAACGTTTACTAAAAATAATATACTTGTTATTCTTTTGGACGGGAGCCCTTTTCCCTAGGGGGCATTCTCTGTTCGGGATGCTTTTTTGTTTGCCCTTGTATATCTTTTCATTTTTCACAATGTAAGTGCGGTTTCTTATAAAAAAATATATATACTGGTTGAATCACTCATAATATATATATATATATATATATTATTTTCAAAACACTTTTGAATACTTCTGAAAACTACTCTTTCTTTTCTAGTTTTTAAAATTTGGTTAAGATCTAAAAACATTTATTTATATAGATTACAAGATAAATAAAATTATTAGGAAACAGTCATGATTTTTAAAAACAAAAAACCAAAACCATTACCCAACAACCCTGAGATGTTTTTTTTCTTTAGTTGAAGGTTATCAAAAGGCCTAGAAACTTTTTTCTGGATGAATACAGAAAAATTATCCTGCAGGTTACGTATCCATCATAAACAGACTGACAGCACTGGCCAGAACGACATGTTATTGGCTCTTTAGTTCCATAACACGAAGCAACCCAAGCACAAGAAGAAAGAATATCCAGAGAGATATTTCTGTTAAAGATGATGTTCGACTATTTATATTTAAATATAAGTTAGAGTTAGTGGTGCCTCCTTTCTTGACCATCCCCTATTTCTTTACCAAGCATAATAATATTTCATACACATAGACACAAACAAAGATGCAGATTTAGAACTAAAGAAGTACAATATTTGGTTCAAATATCAACACTTCTTTCACTAGCATTCTAACTTGAGAACTATTTATTCCAAAATTCAACAACAAAATAGTCACAATACCTCGACTAGTTGATCATAATTCGACTTCAGCAATTTGATCTTACGATCACAATAATCCTTTCCTTCTGCCATCGTTTTCTGATTCAGCCATCAAATTACAACAATCAAGTCATGAAAGCACATCTCCAACATTAATACATGGGGATTACAAGATATATACTGCTATCGTTGGTGTCAAAGCAGCGTCATCTTGGATCATAATTCTTAATCATTAAATCATAACATCCTAACCAATGATAAATAACTACCATGTATAGAAGGCAAATCTGCAGGTAAGCCATTGGGCAATAGAAAGCCAAAGAAAAATAGCATGCATCCAGCATCTCTCAGCAGAAAGGCATGACATTACATTGTGAATAATAAATCACTGAAAACATTTTGCAACACAAGTACATCAGTCATATGTAGAAAAAATAAGTTAAAATTTTCAGCTACACGAATCTCAAATAGGTTCTTTTTTTTTCTTCTTGGTATAAAGAATTAACGTGGGATGCAAGAAAAATAATGAATCAAAAATTGAAGAATGGCAATCAAACAAATAGGTCAGAAAGTCCACTAAGCTGACCTCAACGAAGTATCCAGTGCCGACATCCACCAAGACCTTATTGGCATCATCGAGCCTACCAGCAACATAAAGCGACGCCGTAAGAGGCACCAACATCTGCTTGCCTATAAAGAAAGCATTAAAAAAACCTAATTACCAGCCAATACACAATCAAGCAAGCATAACACACACTATCTCATCGAACAATCACAGCAAATAATCAACGATGAAACAAAACCACAGAAAAAACAACGAGGAATTGTGGGTTCCGATCTGGACCCAAACACACACCAGTTTTGAGCAACGAAAGCAGAAAAAATAACCGAAATGGAGAGCAGGTAACCTTGTGGACGGAGGGAGAGGTCGTGAAGGGCAGCGAAGGCAGCGTCGAGGCGAGTAGAGGCGGTGCGAATGTTGTTGAGGCTCTCGTGAAGGAGATTGACTTCGAGATCGGTCTGTTCCTTGAGGGCTCTGAGTTGATCCACACTCATCTTCTCCAACTCCGACGACCGCGACGCTTCGCTGCTGCCCGCTCCTCTCCTCGACGCCATGTCTTCTCTGCAATCTGCGAGCTCGAAGTCGAGACGAGAGTTCTCAGACCTTGAATCTTGATCGAATCCAATGGAGGGTTTTGGGGGTAATTGGGGTTACTCGCTGCCCTTCTCCATAGTCGGATCGTATTTGTCAAAATGTTATTGGAGAAAAATTTTTAAAATTAAAATTAAAGTATCATTTTCGTCCCCCTCTCTTTTTTTTTTCTTTAAGGATAAATACAAGTAAGTAATTTTTTTTCCAATTATCCACGTAAGTCTATTAGATAGAAAATTTAAAGTTCAAAGACTCACAATTGTATATGAACTTTAAATTTTATAAACTAAACTTTATAGTTTGGGTAGGTTTAGAGTCTACTGTGTGGATAGTTAGTTTGAGAACATGTGTTCGCACTTTAGTCATGTCAATGATGAAATGAGAATTGGTAGAGTCATGTGTTGTTTATTCAAAAGACGATTCAACTAGACTTGACCTGAGAAGAAAATACATATGCTGAAAATTATGCTGACTCGTTGTAAGAAGGTGGATAGCATTAGCATAAAATTCATTGACACCAAATATAAGTGATGCATTTTAAGAGACATAGTTTCACATTTCCAAAGGTACGCAATCTCTAATCAATTTAAGTAAACTCGAATTGACACTAGCTAGTATTAAATACTAAAAGTTGTATAGTATACATGGTTCGTCACCACATCGATGTAAGATTTTGTTCGCATTAGATCGTCTTGTCAGCAGCTCACTTCAACTTGCTAGCTAACATGACACATCGTCTAAAATCTCACCTCAACACTAAATCAACAAGATATGTTTAATCTCATTTACGTAGTCTTAACTGAATAAATTAAATTAAAGAAAATTTGATTATCAATTTGTGATAAATTGTGTTGATGGTCAAATGAACTTAGCTCAATGCTACGACATTTATCTACAATTGAGAGGTCGTGATTTCGAATCATTCCCACTCACTCGTTGTACTTAAGAAAAGAAAATTGCATTGAATTTATTTCCTCAATTAGATAATATCACGATATTATTTACATTAATAATAAGTGGGGTTCACATCCATGTTAAAAAAGGACAAGTAAAATGGAATTAGTGGATTATAATATAATTATTCAACACTAATTATACAAATAGTTAAAAGAAAAGGCTTGATAAAAAAAAAAGAAAAAGAAAAGAAAAAACTATAACTTTTAAAAGTAAAATTCTGCTCAATAATCAAAATACAGCCAACCGCCCAACCCACCCGATCAACTATGAACTATCAATAGAATCGAACCGATCGGTTCGTTGGGTTAATAGAAAACCAAACAGAAACCGAACTGAGTTATACCCATGATCTATCAATATTGTGGGAACGCCATGTACGACGGATTTTTTTTTTTAATAAAGAACGTGCCACTTTCGTTTTCCGCTTCATTCACAAAATCCTCTCTCTGAAACTGAAGTTACCGGCCGGCGGTGAGTTTATCGCCCGAACGGAGTTTTCTTAATCAGGGTTTTCGGCGGCGCCCGGTGGGGAAGCTCGAGCACGTTGAATTGGACGTATTAGGGCTGAGCTTATCGGCGAAATTGGGTGTTGTTTCTGCCCTTGTAACTTCCATTTTTATTGTTAATTTCAGGGGAAGGTTTAGCCCTCTTACCCAAATACCCAGAAGATTTTGTCGAGTTTTTTGATTTTCATCGCTCCTTCTCTTGTCTCTATACTCAGCTCGTTGTCGTCGTCACTCTCAGTTTATTTTGGAAGTCAGACGCCGCAAGGTGAAAAGAACAGGTATTTTATTGTCTCTAGTACCAATTTGTTTGGCAAGGTTATACATTGTTTTTTCTATGAACAAATACACTGAATCCTCATGCAGACTGATGGTGGATATTTTGTTTTAAATTATAATACGAGTTCTGTGATCTGGACTGCAGAGTTTAATTTTTGTTGTTAAAGGTAGTCTGTGTAAAGTGGTTTCATCGCTGAATTGAGCTTTGTATAGGATTGATCTCTGCAAAATCTGCAAAACTTAGAATATGGTTCTAAACTCGTCATAACCGCTTATGTTATTATCTCCCGTTATTCGACCAAGTTTTCATCTCCCTAATATTTTCTCCTAACTCCTTAGAGGGCAAGAGATATTTGAGGTTTTTACGTGATTTCAAAAGGGCATATAATTCGGAATTATTACAATTTGTTCGTTGATGAAAATTGCAATATGATCTTCATTTATGATGTTCGATTCATTCTTCAGTTATTTTCTCTATGTTTACTTTTACTAATCATGTATTGATATTTTGAAGTCCTCATACTCTTATACTCCATTTTTTAATTGACATTTTTTTATTGTCAATTAAAAAATATGTATCTATACTTCATATAAGATCGGGTAGTTCATGTTTTATTACAATAAGTATTAAAAAAAATACTAAATATTGCTTCATAGAAGAACAATCATTTATTTATTTAAGTGTCTCCATGTAGGATGCGTTTTGTGTGCTTTTTTTTTGTCCTTAAAGAGTAAATATCTTTGCTTTTCGGTGCTTCTTGTGCCCAGTAAACACTGCCACTATTCCCAATTTGAATATTTCCTTTTGCTCTTTTTGCGTGTTTTGATTGTCCCTAAGGACCAAGAATTTTGCTTTGGAGCTTTCTCGTGCGTAGAAAACACTGCAACCATACCCAACTTCAATTTTACCTTTTACCCCTTAGTTTCTAGTTTCTACTAAATCCTACATATATCTGCGAGCTTTTATTTATGATTTCTTGCTTACTAAAAAGGAATCAGAAGCTTCCATAACGTCCAAAGGCTTCTTGGTGTTGACAAACTCAGGGCTTCATTTATGGACCCGTTTGATGAAATTCTTTCTGATCCTGGTGTCACAGGTAAGTTTTGCTTACATTGCGCATTTATATTTTCTTGATAATTAGCAATTGATGTAGGTTTTCTGCAGCCCGCACTGGCGGTAGATTTCAACCAAAGATCAAACCGCGTCCAAAAAAACAAACTGTGGCACCACAATTGTCCACACTATCTCAGGATAAAAAGGTATGACCTATGCAGCATCTTTTATTGGCTTGAGTGATAGACGACCAACTTAGGATATCTCTGAGAAAATGTTTCTGTGAATCTATGTTGTCTGTAGGAAACAATATCAGATTCTATATCTTGTCACGATGGTAGTGGAGACACAAAATCAATCAAATCATCATCCCAACTTCCTGTGATAGAGGAGAACAAGGAATCTGAAGATGATTTGTTATTGGCTACCACGATATCTGATTTCAATGATTGTTCACGTCCAATCTCTGTGGAAAGTGCCGAAAGGGTATAATTTACTTGTTATGGTTTAACCATGCTTAGTGCCAAAACACCAGAAAATTGGTCATATGGATTTTTCTATTCTAGTATAAACCTTATATTACTTCATTTGTAAGTTTGATTTGGTAATGAAATTTGTTGTTTCCAGGTAGACTCTATGCAGTTTGATTTGGATTCTTGTGTTAGTATTCTTCCTTCAGATTCTACTACCGATGGTAAGTACTAGTTCAGGACCGTTGAAATTTTGATAAATTGGTACATTTGAAAAGACACTTTCAAAATATCCCAGTACTTATAAATTGCAATATAATTCTATTTATGAATTGAATGGTATTGAGTTTCAACTTGACATCAACAAGCTCAAAAAAGAAAGTTGTTGTAGCATCTTTGATCTCAAAAGAAAAGCCCAAGTTTTCCATCAGTTTTAAAGACTATTTGTTATGAACGGAAGGTTTGGGCTTTGAGGGAGGTAAGCAATATTGTGGTGGTTAGCGAGCTTAGGAGGGGAGGGTCCAACTGTCCAAGTACCATAAATAGTTTGGTAGTTTCTTATCTTTTTATGTTTCAATATAATTTTCGAGTCTTATTGTTTGGTTCCTAACATTGTCTTGGAGACAGGTATTCCATTGATGTTCAAGATGATGGGTTACTGATGCAGTTGGTCTTGCTTCTTTTAGGTCCAGCTGGAAGCGAAAATCTGACTGATGACACCAAAAATTTGGGGGTATTGAATTGTTCCCATCCAAGTGTCTCTACAGCTGATGAGGCTGCAGTTTTAGATCAAAGTGGACTAGAGTTAACTCAAACCGAGGATGGGCATTTCAGTGATGGCAAAATAGCAGGAGAGGTATTGTGATAATTATCAATTTATTAAATATAGTAGAGGATAGGTTCATTATTTTATTTTATTTCTCAATTCTGTACTAATAGTCATTCTTATTTTCAGAATATAGACATGTTTTATGGATTGGAATGTCTAGATGATTTTCATAACCAGCCGAAGAATGAAGCAGGTGAGTTATTGACATTTATGATATCTCTCGTCCCTTTCTTGTGCTTGTTCTAAGGTATTTTCTCATACATCTAAAGATCCTGCAGGTCTTCAGCAAGCTACATTCTCCAGCGAGGATGGAGATTTGGAAAAACAAAGGTTGGAAATAGAGGTGAAATTCATGTTTTGTTAACAAGTGGAGTTTTTTACTTCAAAAGCTTCTTTCTTTACTCGTTGACATATGGTCAAGGTTTCAGGAATGTGGGGCTGATATCGCCAAAGATGGACTTAATTCAGAGGCTACTACTCCATCTGGTAAGACAAATTTCACTAACTTAGTCGTTTTATAGTTGTTTCATTTTTGACATATGATGATTTTATTAAATTCATTTTGTTTTCAGGACATTGCAAGTACAGACCAAAGCCCAGAATGAGAACTACAAAAGAAGACACTTACACCCAAATCTCTCAGCCAGAAATATCTAATATGCTTCCACCATCTCCACAAGTGACTTCTTGCGATAATAGATGCATCAATGAAGCCTCAATTGCTACCCATTCAGATGGCATTCTTAATGATTCATCGATCAACTTTGATGGTTACACTTCTGTCAACCAGGATACTGAAGCACCTGTTAATGTAGAGTCATTAGAATATGACTCTTATGGAGACATACTGGTGGAGGATTTTAATTCAGATGATCAGGATGAGATGTCAAGAGGAGTGGTAATATAAATGACTGTTGAAATATGTACTTAAATATGCAATAGTTTTTAGTTTACAAAATTTAGTTTGGTTGTTTTAACTTGTTATATTTGTAATTGAGGTTTTTAGAGTGGTAAGAGTGGCAACGAAAAACCTTCAGTGGAACCAAATATTTCTCAGCAGCAAGAGAGTTTTCCCCAAGTTGTTGAAGAAAATGAGCACAAAAAAACTTCAAGGAAGTTGAGAAAGCAGGTTTCTCATCACCTTGATGATCCAGAAGATGGCGTCGATGAAAATCAGAACTTCCCTAATGAACCCTCTAATGGAGATGGCTGTAACAAAAATGAAACCTCAATATCTCGAGGAAAAAAGGCTTCAAAAAAGTCTTCAAAAACTTCTAGTGAGAATGAAAAACCAACTCGAAAGCGCAAGGAGGCTAATAAAGCAGTTCCAGATGTGCAAGCCGAAAAGCGTCCTAAGAAGTTCTCCCATTCAACTCGTCGGAATAGAAGGCAAGGTAACTACCTCTGCAGCTGCCTATGCTTTAAACCTCTAGTAACTATTATGTATAGATGATGTAGTAATGTGCTTTTTTCAGATCATTAATTATTTTCTGCCTTCACAGTAAACAAGGTTTTGCTTGAAACTCCGGAGGATGAAATTGACTTTCAAAAGATAAGTTTTAGGGATCTGATTATTTATCATGAGTACAAGGAGAAGTTAGAGGTACATATTCTTTTTAGTACCTCTTAAGCTGCACTGAACTGATAACTTTATTTCTTTAGCTGGCCTGTTTTAGCCTTTTTCTGCATACTTTCTTCACTTCTACTAACGAGTTGCCATGGGTGCTATTATTATTAATGTAGAAGAAAGAGGCCAGCACAAGAAGACCAGCAACAAATCAAAGGTCCAAATCTTTTAAGTCATCTTTTCTTTGTTGCTATAAATTGGTCATAATGAATAAAATTGTTTTGTTTTATTGTCATTATTTTTTATGAAAAATAAAATGAAGATAAGTCATCTTTTATTGTCACGTTGTGAGACACCAATGGACTCTTTAATGCATGTGGCCTTTTTCTCTTTTATTATTTCTTGGTGACTCTTTGCATATATGCTATATATGCAAATTTCCTTGATGGAATTTAGACTCTTTGCATATAATTCATATATGCTACATGTGCTTGTGGCCTTTTTCCCTTTTTTGTAATTTCATACTATGAATAAAATTGTTTCTTTCCCAAAAAGAAAAAAAGAGATGTGCAAATGCCCTTGCAGATGTAACATGAATAGGAAGAGTGTGTGAAATTGAAAACTTAGTTTTTAGTAGTTCGTACCTGTTTCCAAATATGTGTTTGGTACATTAAACACGTTGGATGTGTAGTAATAGATGCAATTGGTATTTATTGAAGTATAAAGAACTATCTCAATGTATGAGATGAAATAGATAAAAGGAGATAGAGTAGAAAACTTCTTTTTAGAGGGATGGGTTGGAAATCAGCCTCTAGCCCTTCGTTTCCCTAGCACTTTTGAGTTATCAGTCAAGGAAGACTTGATGGTTTTTGATACCTGGGAAGAAAAATTAAGATCTTGGAGAATGTTTGTGAGAAGAAACCTAAAGGGATGGGAAACTGAACAAATTTTGCTGAGTTCTGAATTTTTTAGAGGAGAACGGTCAATTTCTAAGATTGGTAGACAGGAGATGCTGGAAATTTGACAATTTGGAAACTTCTAGTGATTTTTGTTCTTTTTTTTTTTTTTTTTAAAAGCTGTTAAAACTTATCTACTTGGACATTTTGTATCAGTATTGACTATTGAGGAAATCAAGAAGCTTACTCTTCGTTGAGATGCCGTTCAAAAGAGACTCTTAACGTAGACCCCCCTCTCCCCACTTTCACATGCCAATTGAAGAGCTTTTTTGTAACTCTCGTTGTTTTTAGCTATGGGATGAGACTTATTGTACCTGAATCGGCTTCTGTAAATGTCTCTTATTAATATCTTGGCTTGTGATAAATATGGTTAAAGAAGTTATTTTTTAATTTATTTATTGGATGAGAAACAAATATTTCCATTATGTGATGAAATATACAATAGGAGAAGAATCCAAGAAAGGAGAGTTACATGAAGGCCTAGCTCATGAAAAACCATTTGAACTATAGCTTGAAAAAGAGGTAAAATAACATTTACACCAGCTTAAATAGAGTTCGGGTTTGAATTTCATAGATAATATGGATGGTAATGTATATAATGATAGGTAAATGAAAGTGGACCTTGGGGCGAGCGTGGGTGATCTTGGGTATAGGGGAGCAAAGCTCCGACTCCTAGTTATATATAAAAATAAAAAAGATAGCCAAATGAAAGACTAAGG